AGACTACATAGTTTAAGGTCTTCCATAAAATTTCCATTTAATGGGCTCCATCATAATGTCTCCATCTGACACACCTTTTGTGCATGGTTAGAAGTTAAGAAGGGAATGGAAAAGACTTGTGTAGGTGACGTATGGTTTAATATCTGTTTTTAAATGAAATCTTAACTTTATATTTCCAGACTTTTAAATAATCCCGTTTTTTTGCAGGGTGATGGTGGTAGGGAAATTTGTGCTCTCAGAGGATTTTTTCCTCTTACGCAATTGACAGATATTTACAGCCTTTTTGCTTGCTTGGCTGGCAGCTTTTTGCATGGGAATTCCATATAACTTGATATTAGTCTGTTATATATAGTATTCTATAAGCAATTTAAAAAAAAAAAAAAAGGTGAATAGACCTTGCATCATCCATAACAGTTTCATAGATCTTAGTAGGAGTTTTATGTTCTTTTCCAATTTATTCATGTTGCTGTACCAACTAACACTTGTTTTTAATGGCCAGATTCATTAGTGCCTCATATCTGTCCATTGTGGAAGAAATTATTTCCAGAAATCCTTTGACAGCTGGTTCATTTTCACTTTGTTCTGTTTATATATTTTATAGAGTTTGCCTGGTTGTATGTCTGACCTCCATGAAATATGATAGGCTTTTCTCCTTTTCTGTAATGGAAAGCTTCATTTAAGCTTTTATAGTCTCTTTCGCTCAGCTTCAGGATTCTGAGGTTCCGTCTGTAGACTCCAGTACAGCTGATGGATATATCACCCACACTTTTAGATGGACTTCCTGTGATTTGATTAATAGTGAATAAACAGTAGACTATAATTTAAGCAAAGTAGACATACTTATCAGCCCAGTGTTGGCATTTAATTGTCCTGCATTATGCTTACCTCAGAACTCCCTCCTCTGGTATAGCTGTAGCAGTACTGCATCCGGATTCATTCTGCGTTGCTGGAGGTGTCTGTAAGCTCAATGGAGACAGAGGCATGTACTTGCAGGGGATGATACAGGTGCGTTTAGGCTTTAGGTGGGTTCAGCTGCCTCCTGGAAGTGCCTGTCATCTGCCTTCCCTGGCAATTTAGAGAGTGGCTTGCTAATTGAGATGCCTCCTCGGGACAGGATTGAGCCTCTCTGTTACCCTTGTATCAGTTTTTTGTATCCTTGTAGTGAATGTTGTCCTAAGAAAATAGCATGCTGTACTGGCACATCTGTTAGTAAGCTGACCTGTACTGACTGTGTGTTACCTGCAGCTTACACCTGCAAGACAGTTGATAGGGAGTATAATATTCAGTCAGAAAGGTCTTACCTCTCTCACTTGTTATTCTTGTAGATGAACAAGTTTCTCAGGGCTGAGCTATGGAGACTGTTGTAGTAAGTGTAGTGGCAATCATCTGATGTTTTCCTTTAGGGTTTAACAAAAAAGCTCTTCCTGTAATGTCCCTTTTGTCTGCTTATTTTCTGTAAGATTATTTCTTATCTGGATGTGAGTCTTAAAAAAAAAAAACCAACCAACTAGTTTAACTCTTAATTTTACTAGAAAATTGCTACCGTACTGCTTTTTAAGAAGTCTTTATTTATTTAGCTATAAGAGATCCTTGCCCAAATACAAGGACTGATAAATGTAATGACATTAAAGAAATCCACTTACCTTTCCTGGCTAAAGGCCAGAACACACACAAGTTAGGTTTGGACACCTAACTTCAAAAATCCCTTGCTAAGCATTTTCCTAGTCATGAAGTGTTGAAATTCAGGTAAATAGGGCCTTCTTCACCCTTAAGGCCAAATTAATATTGCATCCAGTTTTCCAAGCAGGCATTCTCCCAATTGCCTCTTTTTATCTGCCAACTTGACATCTAGTAGAGCCAATCTGTAACAAAAATATACTTCAGATGCCCCGGAAAAATGGAGTGGGGTATTGCCTACATTTTGGGGAGACTGAAGGTAAAAGAAACTTGGAGAAACCACTTTTGCCTTTGCCCACTCCTCCCTTCTTGTGTGCGCGCGCACGTGCATGTCCCTTCTGGTAAACCATCTTCTGCAGCTGTGTGGAAAATGTGACGCATACTCTGATCCCATCAGCACGAGATACTGGGACTGAAGGCTGCAACTCAGACTGTTTGTTAGGGTATGATCTCTGTCTGCAACTCAGACTGTTCGTTAGGGTATGATTACTGCTGTCCTCTGTGCAGTGATGAACCCCACGGAGCTTGAGGAGGACGAAAGAACTAAATGGGCAGAGCTGTGCTTCTCTTCACATGGGGAAGAGCTACTGGCTGAGCCGAGGCGGCTGCAGGGCCGGCCTGCGTATACAAAGGGGCAGAGCAGAGGGTGCTGAGCCCAGGATAGCATGAGGCAGGCCTTAGTGATGGAGGGTGGTTATCTGGGTTGGGAAGGCAGAGGACTGATGGGGAAAAGATGGGACACTATCCCTTGGGTTTGTTACACTGAGTGTTCCCTACGTGCGGGTGTCTCCTAGGCTTAGCAGGGATAGATAAATTCAGTGTGTTACTAGAAGGTTAGGAAAAGAACATATCAACTAAATAAAGATGTGAACTTCATTAAAAACAGCTACATTAGGAAGGATTGTCTACTTAATAGTTCATGTTATACAAGATGCAACTTAGGGCTCAGCTGGACTCATTCCCAGTGTTCATAAATCTATGCATGAAGAAAGCAGAGCAAGTGAGCGCTAAAAGTTCCTTTGGGGTTCTTTTTTTTGTTTTGCTTTTTGTTTTAAATTTTGAAACTCACATTTAGTGTGTATATTTTAACATGTTCATGTGAAACACATCAAAGTAAACACATGCAGTGTGTTTCTTTCACTGTCATTAATCACTGTAGTGTTTTAAAAAGTAACAAAAAATACACTAATGTTAAACTGTGGTCAAGAATTGAAATATACGCAGCTCTAGAAATTTGAAGTTTGCCTTTGCCAGGACAAATGTAGCTTGACAACCATGTGTGTTTATGTATCAGCATATGAAGCAAGTCTGGTTAGCAAATACGGACTTTTTCCATTAAAAAACCCTCAACTTATATTGAAACTTTTTAAAGCACTTTTTCAAGCCACCTGAAGACTCAGCTAAAAATTCAGGGGAAGAAAATGACTGTAAATTCTCCGAACCACTCTGAGAACTATTATCCTCCAATATTTTATCACAAAACTCACTTGCTTTTTAAGCCCTGCTTATGTCTTTGTCTGGGCGATTTCTGTCTGTGACACAACTGAATAACCAGGAGTGGATGTGAAGATGAGGGTTATTTGGGGCTTTTTTTGCCACTGAGGTGCTAGTGAACAGCCTGTGAGAAGTCCACCTGTCCTTTCCAGGTGTGTTGGGGATAGGCTTTCAACCAGAGTGGAGGACACCTGGTTTTGGTTGTACTTGAGGTTCCTACTTCCCTGTTTTCCATAGAAAAGAACCGTGCTATCTCCCTCTCCGCAAACCTCCTGGATGCTACTGAAAGGGGAAGGACGATGTGGCACTTCTGTTCCTCCCAACAGCCTCCCTTGTGAATAGCTGTGCAGCCCGCCTCTGCTGCTCCTCTCTGCTTTCCTCAGCAGCACCATAACGCAAATGTCAGCCTGATCCCTGTCAGTCCATTCTCTGGGGTCTGGATACTGGTTATGTATGTGAAATGCTTCAGTAATTTTCCTTGCTCTGACGAATGCCTATGTGAAAGGAACTGGGACAGAACTGGCAGTGTGCAACCTAAGAAAGGTGATACTGTCATGTTGCTCTTCACTCAGATGTGGGAAGTTGTTTTCATAAATATAATT